AAATAGATGTTTGCTTGTTTCAACTTGAGGAAGTACTAGCTGGATGGTTCCAATGAATATCATTACTCTTAATGCATTTGCTGTATATGTAATATCTTGAAAAATATGTTCATTCTGATGAAATGGGCAGTTCATCTCGCGCCATACTTTTCTCATTTATTAAATATCTATTCCTTTTGTTTGTCAATGCGCATCGTGTAGATGCGTAGATGTGAAAAATAAATAAAATAAAAAAAACATGGCATACTTGTTTTTTGTTACTGAATCAAAGTTTTCATAAATTATCTCCATGTGGTTTTTAACTGATGGCTTTTCTTTTCGTCAAATCCAAACACGGATTCAATAAGCAGAAAATATGCTGTTATCCTTTTAGAACAACTGAACGCAAAACCGTAGTAGGGCTACGATGACGAGAGAATTATAATTCTTGAAAGAATTGTTTAGTTGGATTTTTGGCATCAAAGAAGGTTATGGTAAAACAAATCTAAGAAGTCTGTGATATCGCAATAAATGCTTATCCTCTTCATTGAGAGAAACTAATGATTCCCTATAATAATGTCTTCCATGCTGCAATGCTCGGTCATGAAGATGAGCAGCCACCAAAATATTGTTGTTTGTCATCTGTCAACTCAATTTACAGTCAATTTATATTTGATTCAAGATAATGGTGATGCATGAAAAGCAAAGAAAATAGTAGACATTTGAAATTCCCCGGTATTAAATATGGAAAAGGTATGTTACTGTCAAATGAAGGTTTTTGCCGACTAAGTAGTCGGGAAATAAACTGTACTATAACGGTTTCAAACCCGTACGAGAGCCCCAGAGCAGTTGTAACTTACAAGGGACTGTACAATGTGTGACGTCATAACATGGCGGCTAATTTTGTTTCGAGTATGGCCTTCGATGATCTTACGGCATTGTAACGGCTCTGTGATGAGATACAAAATTGTAAATTGTTTTAAGTATCCGGCCCCTGTATACCATCGAGCGGGAGATACCCGTCTCTCTATTTGCTTAACTGGAAGAGAAATTACTTTCCCTCATCCCTTTGATGCGTTCTCTATTTACGATTTCAGATTGCCTTGCGTCCATCTTGAAAAAGTGTCAGCTTGGCTGCCTCGTTTTCATCTCGGATTTCCCATATGGCATTATGGCGTCATATATTATCGGACATGTTTTTTTCTTGTTTAACATATATTAGGATTAGCCGTGAAATGAATATTCAGGAATTTATGAAGATTCATTATCATATAGAGTATCGAATATGGGATTTCATTTTTTTTTTTCTAGATGACTCCTTCAAACTACTTAAGTTCCGGGTGAACAAACATGACTTTTCAGACATCGGGAAATAAGTATTTCTATCGTAAACATATTAAGATTATGTATAAAAGCTTTGGCATGTACTGACAAAGGAAATAGGAATTGAATATATGTCACATAAAAGAAGAGAGCGAAATTGAATTCCTATCTTATCAGAATGACCAAGATTTTTCACCCGCCTTGGAACCTCTCAGCTAGTAGTTGCTCAAGTTGAAACAAGCTAACATGTATTTTCACGCTCAGCTGCTCGAATGCGACTCCTCAGAGAAACGCCACGATTTACGGAATTATAATAGCAAAAATTATGGTCTGATTTTAGCACAAGATAAATAACATTCAGAATAATCGAGAAGAGTTACACGATTTGTGTAGCTACACATCACCAAATATTGACTTCGTATTTCACGCACACACACAACATACACACACACCCGTACATACACATACACAGTGAAAATACCTACATATTCAATGTAACCCAACTGCGGTTTTGCGTTCAGTTAATGTTCTATATTGAAAATTATAATGTAGCATGCTTTTTGTTTATTTGAATAAGTGACTTAATGATTGGTTCAGGTGAAAAAAACGGTCCTTCTATTAGTTCGATTAGCCATTGCGCGATGGTGCAGTTACAAAACCATTTAGAAAGGTATCAGCAAATTTGAAGAATTTTATTTGATTCAGCTGCCATACATAGATTTTTAAAGCAAGGAGCATTTTCAGGTTTCAAAAAATATGCATCTGCAATTGATACTTGCTGCCTTGAAAGAAAGGGGAAATGCCGCATCACCTCCATGAGTGTTGCCATTTCGATAAACAAACATCGGAAATCACATTTGAAAAATATCCCAAAACAAAGTCAGTGATAACCAATACTACATGTTTTGTTATCACTTGTTTGAAGAGAATGAAAGATGAAATGGTTTACGTAGTTTTCAAAAACTGATACTAACACACTTGTTGGTTATATATGTTTTACCAATCATGTTTACATCGAAGTGGCAGCACAAAAGGGGACCCAGCAAGCGTACTGAAATATATTTCCGTAAAAAAATAAAAAAATATATTATCATAGCTAGAGTCAGTGGGAGAACCCATAGCAACTCCATTGACCTGAGTGTACAAACGGTTGTCAAAAGTAAAAATTGAGTCTTTAGTGACAATGATTAAAAGGAAA